TAAAAAGGTCATAGGGAAAGCTTCAGTAAGTTGTTTGGTAAGACCTCTAAGTTGGAGGATAGTTACTAAAAGAATATAAGGTATTAGCTATAGAATTTTTTGTCGTTAAAAACCCATCTTTTGTCGATAATATGAATTAGAGACAATTTTTTTTGCTAAAACTTCGTCGAAAAATAGCGAATCTCTTTCTATGTTGTTATTGTGGAACTAAAAAAATTTTGTACCGAAGACATCGAGTACTAAAGGGATTTTAATGCATTTCTTTATCACATTTTCTATATACAAAGCCCAGATGGGGACCTTATAGATTGTATTCACATATCTCACCAGCCAGCTTTTGATCATCATTTTCTCAAAGATCACAAAATCCAAATTCATTCTTCACCTTTTCTCCATTGTTTAACATCAATTTTTTTCTCATATAGTTGAAATTTGAGGACTAATTTTTTTTTTATTTTTTGTATCAAATGAGGCCTAATTATCACCAAGAAGGCCTTTTTGACGAGAACAAGATCTTTGACATTAAAAAACCCAAACAACGCTAAAACCTCATAACTTAGTTGTGGCACATGAATGGTAAATGTCCCTAAGGAACCATAACCAATAGAAGAACTAAAGAAAAAGATGTTTCGAGGGCAAGCTCAATCAAAAGATATGGTAAAAAGAACCATGCGACCATCTTTTAGCCTAAGTCTTAGATACTGATCTCATCAATCAAAACGGTCATTATGCAGATTTCAATTTTCATGTTAGTACAAGTTTAAGATAAGAATACTCAATCTCATATCAAAGATGCAAGAAAACTCAAGAGAGAGAGAAATTCTAGTTTTAGAGAGAGAAAAATTGTCTAGTTTTAGAAAAAGAGAATGAATTGATGATGAAAAAGAAGGAAAAAAATAAAAAAAAACTTAAAAGGCAACAATTTTGGGTAAAAAAATAAAATAAATCATAAAATAATTATCTCTTTTTTAAACCTCAAAGACCATTTTAAATTTGTCTCAAATTACAAAGTGGTTTTATATAATTTACCCTAAAAGAATTAACCCTTATTTTGTTATTCCTCAATAGGTTCAAAAAAATTTTCTAAACTTTCAATATATAAATGCTTTGACTTTTCTTTTTTTTTTTTCTATAAAAATTCCTCCATTATTTGTTTTCTCTCATCATCCAGGGAAATCAAAAAAAGAAAAAAAAAAAAAAGCAATTGACCATATAATTTACTAGTGCATTTGTCAACAGTCATTTCTTCCAAAAAAAAACCATCCAAAATCTATATATGATCATCGTACAAATTGTGATAAAATCGAGTAAACTCTGAAATTGGATCCAAGTTACAACACAAAATAATGAATTAAAAATAAAACATATGGGAAGACTTTTTGCAAGTACTAACTTCAATCTCTTGTGCATACATAGGAGGCAAAAAACAAAACAAACTACATTGGGTTATTTATATCTTCTCAATCTAAAAGAAACTGGCGTACGTAATGTTTGGGTTTGGATTCACCTTATATCAATAATAAAAAAAAAAAGGGGCTTGCCAAAAAAAAAAAAAGAAAACCCAATTGATATAGAAAAAAGAACGAGACAAAAAAAAGGTGAGTAGACTAGTGAATATAAAAAGGATGGGCAAATTCCATCCCTGTATCATTTGTGGCAGAATCGCACAACAAAGTCGCGTTAACAAAAGTTATAAAATTACTTAAATACTTATACACATGTTACCTTCATAACAAGTAAGAGCATAAATAATACACTAGTACTCATAAGTTATTCAAATAAAACTCAAATTTGGTTCAATTATTATTGAGTCTTATTCGAGCTCAAGTAGCTTGATCATCAAACCAAGTTCGAGTATTTTTATACTCAACTAGAGTAGCTCGCAAGCTTAATTAAGTTTTTATATTTTAATTATTTTAATTGATAAAATATCTCAAACTCGAGTTCGAATTTGAGTTCGAGCCAGAGTACCAATAATCGAGTTTTTTGTCAAATATTAGAATCAAATTTATTTTTATATATTAATTGAGTTTAATCAAGCGAGCTCGAATAGCTTAATTTCTATTTCGAGTCGAGTTTGAAATTAAAAAATAAAATTCAATCGAGTTCGAACTAAATTTTGAGCTTCAAATTTAAAGTTAAACTCAAATTCAAACTTAATATTGTATCGATTCAAATTCGATCGATTACATCCTTAATAACAAATAATAAAAGTTAATAATTTATCGTGAAAGCAAGTAAACTAGATTTAAAAAATTGGAAAATATATAGTTGTTCATTTTAACTAGTTTATATAATTTTTAGTTTCTTTGAAAAATGATAATTAAAGAATAAAATCAAAATAATTACCTTTTGAATTCATTCATTTTTGCAAAAACTCCTTAATCTTTTATTTTCTTTTAACTCTTTTGAAAATCAAAGTCAAAAATAAAAAATCATACCAGCTAAAATCAAAATAAGATATCAAACTCTATCCTAAAAACTCAAAATCCAATACCCAATTTTTTTTACCACTACTCACATACACAAATTCAATTGGAAAACAATAATAAGCATCACCAAAGTTACAACCCAAAACCGACATTACAAAAAAAAAAAAAAATCTCATTTCTTTTGTTGCCCAAAAAAACAAAAAATACACAATACGATCAATAGTCAGCACAAAAAAAAAATCAAAAGAAAAAAGGGAAGTATATTTAAAGTTTTGGTTTTGAGGGTTTAGGATTTCGGAAGGGAAGAACATGGGAAAAATATGGAAGAGAGGCAGAAGAGACAGTTGTGGTGGCTCCAATCGATGACAACTGACGGAAGGACTTAGTGTTTTGGTTTAGGCTGATTTGGAGAGGGTTTTGAGGCATTTTAACTGTGGGGTGATGGAAAAGGATTAGAAAAGGTGTTTGAAGTAGATCATGGCTTTTTAGGTGGCTGAAAAAGGCTTTTCCGATGGATAAGCTGCGACTTTTTAGGCTAGATCTAAGCTTTTATAAATGTTTTTGGAAAATCTAGTTGGATAAGAGAGAAGAGGAGATGAAGAGAAATATTTGCGTAGCTTTTTGGGTAATTCCGATACCGGCTAGAGGTGACGTAGATGAAGGCAGCAGTCGAAATCTGGAAAGGAAGGTGGTGGCCACTTTGATTTTTTTTTTCCTTCGTAAAAAATCCCAATGTTTTTTTTTTAAAAAAATTTTTTCACAATTAATTAAAAATTCTATTGCTAAAATTTGAATTTTGTTGAAAAATTATCATTAATATTTTTAATATTTCATGTCAGTTTATTTTTCGTCTTTTTATATTTAATTTCAAAATATACCAAGATATATTAAGATATAATAAATGATATTCAATTCTATAAAATTGTAAATATATGCATTTTTTCAATTTAATTCTTATGTTATCAAAATTCTATGTCTATGTATGAATTTTGTGTGATTATTATGTGTATATAATTTTTTCCTCTCATTTTCATTATTTAAATTGAAAAATTTTTATTCAAATTTAGTCAAAGATGTTTGTTCGGTCCCTTCGTCCCTTCCAATGCTAGAATTTTAATTATGTTTAGATCTAATAATTTAAAAATATAATATGATGATATAATAAAAAAATAATATAAAAATTTATTAAAATGATATGTTTTAAATTTTATTAAAAATTATATATGAATTTTATAAAACAGAAATATGTATTTCATATTTTTATATTGACAAGAATTATAAAATATTATTTTTATATAAAATATGATATAATATATAAATTATTAATATTTTATACAATATTAATACATAAATTATCAAATTTAAGTGTATCCTTATAATACTAACCACAAACTCCTAAAGTTTGGAAAACAAACTAGAAACATATCCATGGTCCATATGGTTTTGAACTTTGTTTTGTTACCTTAAATTTTCCCCTTTATTTTATATTTTTTATTGAATAAACATCAATAATTGATTTTTGGGATAGCAGATATTTTTACTTTTATTTTTTTTGTTATTTATCTTTAATTTTTAATTTATGTTTTTTTTCTTTTATCATTCTATTAATTTTTACTAAATGTATACACAAACTTACTTTTCAAATAATATTTTCAATTGTATTTTTGCATAACCATAAATACTTTGAATTTAATTTTTTAATTATTATAATTATAAAAATTTATTTAAACAACAATAACAACAACAATAATAATAATAATTTTTTTTCCTAAATAATTATCACTCGAATGTTATAATGAATAATAATTAACTAAAAATTATTTAGCTCAAACATTATAAAGACTCGAAACTTTTGAAACTAGGTTAGGCTTATTTTTCCAAATTTTATTTTTTGTCCAAATTTATTTAACAAATTTGCTCATATCATCCCAAATATCAAGCTAACCTTCGAAATTGAGCAGGTATAGCAACATTTAAATAGATCTGTTTAGAAAGTGGATAATCCAATTACTGGACAAGTTTAGAAACAATTACTATTGACCATTAAAATTTATATACATATTTTGAACTTCTCAAATATTAAAAATCATATTCTAACATTCTGATCTGAAAAAAAAAATGCAAATATAAATCTTTGAATTAAATATGCATATACTTATGACTAAAGTTAAATGTTTCAATACTTATTTTACGGTTAGTTATATCGAGATTAAGATTAATTTGATACTAAACTATGGATAAATGTGAAGTTACCTATTGTAATTTAATTCATTAAATTTGGTCATTATACTTTTAATCTTATTAATTTTTACATAACAATAAAATTGATGAAAATTTACCACTTGCATTAACATAATATTTCATGAAATATTTTATTTTTTATTTTTTAATGTTGAATTTTTAATATTAGAAATTGAGTTTAAATCTTAACAAATTTAAATAAAAACAAATAAAATTTAATATCTTGAACTAATAATTATAATAATAGTAGTAGTAGTGGTGGTGGTAATAATAATTTTTGTCCCTTCCCAAAAAAAAAAAAAAAATCCTAATTCCTTGACTTTCAAAGAGAGCTACATTACTGTCCATGTATAGGGCATAGAGAAAGTACCAACCATGATGCTCAACTCCGCCATATCACCTCTCCCTTCTTCAACCTCTTCTCTCCCTAACTTCACCAAAGCTTCCCCTTACTTACCAACGCTAACTGCAACTGCCCATAATTTTTTCTCCTCGAGGAGGGGCAGGAAAGGAAGAAGGACCCACCGCACCTTGATGGAGTTCTCTTCCTCCTCCTCCTCCTCATCATCAGAAAATCAGACGGCTCTCATAGTTCCATCACACTCACAGGATGACGATGGAGCGGAGGTTGTTAGGAGGTTCTACGCAGGAATCAACGGCCGTGATCTGGCATCGGTGGAGCTCTTAATAGCGGAGAAATGCGTGTACGAGGACCTTATCTTTCCTCGTCCATTCGTTGGTCGCAAGGTAACTCAGCCAAATGCTACATTTTCCCTTCCCTCTATGCACCTGCAAGTCACGTGAGTTTCTTTTTATTTTAAATCTATTTGGATAAATTAATTCTGGTAATTAATTGCTTTTGTTTATTAAACGAAATAAATCTTATCTGAATAAAATATTTTAAAAATTAATATGTTCGTGTTTTTACATGTTATTATTTGCCTTTTATTTTTTAAAAATAAAATAAAATTTATTTAGATACAATACTACAAGATAAATTATTTGATAATAGTGAATTTTTTTAACTACACAAGCGACTTTAGGATATTAATGCATATTTTATTTTTTAAAATTAATTTTTTATTTTTTTAGATATAGACTAAAAAAATGTATTTATCTTAATTCCGTTTGTAAAACTAAAAAAATTTTTATCAATGTAATTGATAATTTTTCAAACTATAATTAAAAAATTTTCTAATTAAAAGTAGTTAGAGACGTAATTTTTATAACAAAATGCATGATTTATATTTTTTATGAAAAATAATTATTATTTTAAAATTGATAGTCATTTGCACGAGAATATTCGACGCAATGATAAGTATGTAGAAACTTTTTGTATAAAATATTGCATCTGTATTCCTTTTCAAAAAAAAAAAAAAAAACAACAAAATATAGTTAAACTCTATTCATTGAAATTAAAAATTTAATACTCTATTCAAATCACAATTGGCGTATTATAAGCCCATGATAACTAAAATACTAGCCATGGATTGAGTCTTTAATTTATACTTCTCTGTTATAGTCATTACATGCATGATTGAATTGTTGAAGAATTAATTTAAAATATATATATATATATATGGTGTTTGTAGGCAGTAGTTTTTCTATTACTTATTTAGAAATAAATGTGTGAAGACAACTATTCAATATTTTAGTTTTGCTGCCGCAATAATTTGTGCTTGACATTAGAAAAAAAAATTGAAATTAGATGAATATATTCCATGCCATTTTAAATAGAAGTCCTAATAATTTACAAAGAAAATGTTTGCTAGCTTCCTAATAAAAATAGTTTGTACAAAACTTTAGTTGATTACCTGATTTTAAATCAAGATTATTATACATTGACAACGAAATTTGAAACTTGAAATTAACTTAAAATTTAATTTAATTAATTCGTATAATCTTACATGAGGACAGTATGTTTAAATTTTAAAAACCATAATTCCTTTCCTTATTTTTAGACTATGACCTCTTTTATATCAAAAAGAAATTAAAACTTGAAAAAGTGTGTTTAATTGATCCTCTTGTATCCATTTAACTATAAATAGCCCTTTAAATATAATATATGGAATTGCTGTTAGTTCTTTAATTTTCTTTTTCAAGTGAAAGGATTGACGAAAATTCAATCATGGTGCAGGCAATCTTAGAGTTCTTCAAAAGTTTCATTGATTCAATAAGCATGGATCTCCAATTTGCTATTGATGATATTTCTGCTGAGGATTCATCTGCTGTTGGAGTTACTTGGCATTTAGGTAAACATACGCCTTTTTTAAATTTTATTTTTCCTTTCTCAGAACTTTTTATTTTCCTTAAATTTTATTACCATCTAACAGAATGGAAAGGAAAAGCTTTTCCTTTTAGCAAAGGTTGCAGCTTTTATCGGCTAGAAATGTTGGAAGGCAAAAGGCAAATAATGTAAGTGATAACTGATGTCTTTCATGTTGATACCTGATATATTACTCATTGTGTCTTTAAACATTTTCTCTCAACCCAACAACCATGTTTCTCCATTTTCTTATTTTCATTCTTGATCGAGTTTCAATCCAAAGAAAAATCGAGACTAATTATTTTCTTGTGAACAGTTACGGAAGAGATGTTGTTGAACCTGCAATCAAACCTGGGGAGGCAGCTTTGGTATGAAAATCACCCTTCATTCTTCTAACATTCTTAAACCTGTGGATAAATCCCAAATTAAGAAAAACCAAACATCAGAACACTAACTCATAAATAACTTTAACAGAAAAATTCCATGTACAAGTAATTTTCCCAACAGAGATAATATTTATAATAAGGAATCATATTAGTATTTTTAGTGACTAGATCATTGTTATTAGTAACTAGATTGTCGTTATCCTTCTTATGGCAAGGAATGGGAATAATGGTTGGTTTGTTCGAGTTTACAGGGTGCGATTAGGGCTGTAACATGGCTGTTGCAACAATTTCCTCAGTTGGCAGATCGGTTATGAAGGAAGCTATGCCGGAGTATGAACATACAATTGATAGGCTCAATTGTAATAGCAGGAACCCAATATCTTGCATCAAAATCCATGTAGAAACAAATAACCAAGAGGAAGGGGATTCTAGCAAATGATTCCCACCACCTTAATCAAAAAGTCTCAAAAGGTTCTTGTATTTGTATATAGAAAATTTACCCCCCCAAAACCTTTCTGTCTTAAACTTATTTCAGGTTTTCGATTTTGTATCGACTTATTTTATGATTTTATGCAATTCAATGGTCTAAACATCTAACTCTGTCATCCAAAATTGTCATCCCAAATTAATGTGTGAGAACTAATTTCATAAATCACCTAAGATAAGGAGCCCAAAAGTATTCAGAAAAAAAAAAGCCAGAAATCACAAGGAATTATATTCTTTCATCCAGTTAGCAAAACAATTAAACTGCAAAGTTGGTTTAGGAAAAAGAAAAAAAAGTGGCAAAAAACAAATGTGGCTGAAGGAAACACCTGGTATCGCCAGATGCAGTAGACATGATAAGCAACTTAAGCCACATTGCTTCCAGATCTTGCTCTGCAAAAACTGAATAGAGCTCTCATCTTTCATTCTAAGGATTCAAGCTTTTGGACGTCCCTTTGTAAATCCAGCAAATGAACAAATAGAAGTCAATTCTAACAACTCACTTACAATCCTATAGTACATGCTCATAGCAGCAACAGGCTGTTGTAGAGACACCTCAACGGCTTCACTGCTCAGTGCATCCTTTCCAGCTGAATCTCAAGAATAACACAAAAGAATTACCTTGTAAACCTTCTAAGCACCCTCAAAAGATCACCTTCGCTTTTCCAAGCTGGTAATTTCTAAACTCTGCTGTGAACCATATGTCATTGGACTGGTGGTGTTGTTGGATTCATGTTTTCCCTATCAAATGATGCGGTCTTCAATTTCTATGGAGAAAGGGAACTAAGATATCTAGCCGTTTCCTTCCTAAATACTTGAAACATTGCCACTATTCAAAACAGAGGAATAATAAAAAGCCCAAACACCTAAGTTTGCAGCATGTATTTTGTTTCTAGTGAGTGAGATGGGATGTCCAAAGACATTTATGTTTCGAAAGGTACATTGCAAATAATTGTCATCGACTCAACATGTTAACTTATGGCAGTTGAAGTATGGCAATAGCTTACACAAAACCTTTGATTGCCGAAAAATAGTTGAAGACTAAGAATAATCAGCTTATATCTGCACCAAATTTGAGTAACCAAAACTAAGAACAGATGGAAATTTGTTACAATAGTTCCATTATGCTCCAAGTAAACAAAATTTTGAGAACCACACAGATTTGTACTCTGGTAGCAAATACCTATTTTCATTCAATTTCTTCAAGAACTTCACAATCCAAACCGAACTTGTCCCAAGTAACATTACCACCATCCCTCATGAGCTCAGTCAGTCCATCCAATACTTTGTAAATCTCCTGTGTATAAGGATTTGATGTGTCCCCCACAACAAATGGAGAAAATACAGATCCCACATCAACCCAAGCACAACCAGGAGACTTCTTTACACCCAAATCTCTCATGAAAGTCCTGACTTTTGCTAACTTGCTCCAACAACCAGCAGCAGCATACATGTTAGCGATCAACACATAGTAACCTGAATTTTCAGGTCTGAGTTCCAGCAGTTTCTCAGCTGCCCATTCCCCTATATCTGTATTTCCATGGATCCTACAGGCTCCCAAGAGAGTGGCCCACATGGCCGCACTTGGCTTGTATGGCATTCTTGTGATGATTTCCTTCGCTTTATTCAACAAACCAGCCCGTCCATAGAGGTCGATCATGCAAGAGAAATGCTCGAAACCAGGAATTATACCATAGAAACTTTGCATCTTTTCAAACCACATTTGGCCTTCAATTACTAGGCCACAATGACTGCAAGCAGATAGAACAGCCACCATCGTTACATTATCTGGTTTGATCTGAAGGTTAATCATCTCTTTGAATAGCTTTATAGCAGCTTGTCCCTCTCCCTGCATTCCATATCCGGCAATTAGAGAAGTATAGGTCACTTCATCCCTCTTTCTCATCAAATCAAATATGCGCTTAGCCACGAGAACTTTTCCTGACCTTGCATACAAAGCTACAAGAGCATTCCACAATAATAAACAGTCCTCAAAAACTTTGCGTCGGGTAATGTAGCAGTGGAATTCTTTTCCATGTTGCAGATTTGCCACTCTAGTACAAAGAGGCAAGATACTGGCAATTGTAACATAATTGGGTTCAACCCCAGAATGCAACATCTCCCGAAATAGGAACGATGCTTCTTCAGATTGATCCATATGGGTGTAACCAGAAAGCATTGAGTTCCAAGTAATTATAGTCTTTGCTTCTACTGACTTAAACAAAATATAGGCATGCCTTAGGTCTTTGCATCTAGAATACATTGTAATCATTGCATTTCTAACATTCTCAATCGCATCACAACAACTCCGAATTGCAGAACCATGTATCTCTTTCCCCAATTTCAAGGCCCCAATATGTGAACAGGCCCCCAACCCTATGATCATTGCCACCGGATCCAAATGAATGCCACTACTTCTCATCTGAGAAAGCAACTCCAGTGAACCCTTAAAATTCCCTGTTCGCAAGCACCCTCCAGCTATAGTATTCCACGTTATAAAATTCAGTTCAATACCTTCAGCCCGCATGCAATGAAAGAGCTCAAATGCTTCTCCCCACATGCTCTTGGAGGCATAACAACTGATAATTGTATTCCAAGAGACATCATCCCTCTCCACCATTTTGTTAAATAAGTCACGAGCAACATCCACTTGTCCAAATTTTCCATACATGGAAATCAAAGCATTATGCACATACAAGTTCCAGTCATGACAACTACCATTAATTGAGTTATGAACCATCCTCCCAAATTCAATATCCAATTTCTCACCACAAGCTTTCAAAACAGATGGGTAGGTGAAACTATCTGGTCTAATCCCCTTATTCACCATCTTTCTATAGGCAGATAGAGCCTCCTCGAAAAACTCATTCTTAACAAAGGAAGATATAAGCAAATTCCATGGTAATGGGTGCAAAAAATTACAATTCTCTGTGACAACTTGGGCATCATCCAAAAGATTAAATGTTGAGTAAAATGTGATAAGCTTCGGAACCAGAAGAGGATGTTGCTCCAAACCCAAGGAGATAATTAGGGCATGAAGCTGTTTACCTGGTGGAAGCGATTTAAGGTTGGTACAGGATACAAGAAGAGAAGAGATGGGCTGTAAGATAACATCATAAGAAGTACTGGAAGAGACATGGAGCTGAATTAAAGACAATGATTTGAATGCTTTCAGTAGATGTCCTTCGGTTAGAAATTCCTTGAGAGACGTAAGAAAGTTTTCTAACATGAATTCATAATCGGTTGTAAATGTTTTCAACTCATGCCTTTGGTAATCATATGATGCAAATGGTTGATTGGATTGAATATCTATAGGTTTGGCACTTTGTTTCCACTTTTTAGGAATAAATTTCTGGATTCGGGATATAGAGAGCTCTTGTAACAATAAACGAGATGATGAAGATGGCATACACTACATAAGTATGTATCATGTGTCTTACAAGAATAAATGAGAACTGGCTGCATCACTTTACCAGCATCAACCCCACATAAATTGGAAAACATGTCAGTAGACAACTACTTTGGCACCTGAAGAATTTAAATTGAGACCACACACATTTGGATAAGATCTTCTGCAAAATTTAAAGTTTCACCTGAAAATGAGAAGATAAAATATAAGTGATAAAAAGCCTTAATCGTTCGCAAACTCAAGCTCAATGATCATATTTAGACTAAATCAGACTGGTTAAAAAAAAAAAAAAACCTAATGGTACAACAAGCTCAATTTACTAAACTAAAAGCCAATAATCTTTTTAATGATGTTATTATACAACATCCAAAAGCATGGTATAAGATAAGTTGCCAAAGGTGCAAGGCATAGTCTGATATGGTGTTTTAACCATCACACAAAAGCATTTTGTTATCATGTGGATAATCGTTTTTGAAAAATTAACTACTTTTCAAATGATAGTCACACAATAACAGGATGCTATAGCCAACATTAATCGTAACCTTGCTATTATTTAAGTAATAAAATGCCTCAAAATCTTAGAAGGAACCTTTTTAAGAAATTACAGGTTACTATACATATAACCACAATATCAAACATCAAAAGCACTAGATCAACAATAGCATACAAATAACAGTAAACTAACAATGTCAATAGAATAACAGTAATCTAACAATGTCAATAGCATACAATTAACAGTAAACTAACAATGTCAAAATACTGTGTCATTAAGACATTAAAGTAGGAAAAGAACATGATTAAATTTAGGATTAAGGTAGCCCATTTTTAACACCAGAAATCATGTTAAACACACACCAAAAAAAAAAAAAAAACCAATGACAACATATTATTAGCAACTAAAACATTGAACAAACGCTCAAGCTTAGACTTAATATTAAACAAAAATATCTTAAACATTATCAAGAAGGCTAGGGCTCAAAAGAAGCCAAAAAAGAGAGAAAATGAATGCAAACAAAAAATAAGGTAAACCCAACAAGGGGCGAACTTCAAATATTAAAAAAAGCACGTAAAATGAATACAATTTGTTATTTTGACATTTCATCAAACACCATGAATGCTACTGTTAAATTAAAAAGAAAGAAGTAAAAACATTGAGAGAATGAAACCAGTGTTGATTTTTACATTACCCGAGGATTGGAGAAGTGAGAGACGGGGTTTGATTGGGTAACATGATAGACATCAAATGGCTTCAACAGCAACAAAAGCTTTCTTCTTGCCTGAACCTAAAGCGGCCGACGCCTGAGTGAAGGAAAAACTTGAAATATTGTTAAAGAGGATGTACGGAAATGTTCAGGTTGCTTTGTATAAGGAAAAGAAAAGTGAAAAAACTAATATTAGCCCAAAAACAAGCTATGGGCTTGAACAAGATCCAACAAGCCGAGAAAAAAATTTTAGTTTTAGATCAAGCTCTTATTATTATTATTATTATTTTACTGAGTTTTAGATTAATTGACATGTTATTAAAGTTTGATATTTAAAATTTATAAATGTGAGAGAATTTATATTTTTAATAACCTTTTTAATATATAAATAATAAGATAAAAAAGTTTAAAGGTAACTTTAAAAAATTTTCTTTTTTATTTTTGAAAATTTTTTAAAATTTCAAGTCGAATGTTTTTATGTCAATTAATAAGTCAAAT